AATGGGTCTTGACCCTTGATTTGATAACAGGTAAACTTATTTTTATATTCTATCTTCTTGCTTTTGCTAAAATTGATATAGACTTCATGAAGTTATCCATTTACTCTTCATTCTTCTTCATCCTTTTCACGTTTTACGGCCTTCCTATCCATATTATGCGAGATCTATTTGTTACGGCAAGATCATTCGTCAAACGACTCACTGCATTCTTGAGATACCGCAGAGCAACTCACGATATGAACTCAAGATATGGAGATGCGACTGTTGAAGATATTCAAAGGGAAGATACATGCATTATTTGTCGAGAAGAGATGCGACCTTGGTCTGTAACAAATCCACCGGTACCTGCTGGAGCACAACCCAGACCAGGTACTGTCAATGAACGTACAAGGCCGAAGAAGTTACCTTGTGGCCATATTCTTCATTTAGGATGCTTGAAGAGCTGGCTTGAACGACAACAAGTATGCCCAACATGTCGAAACCCTGTGGTAGAAACACCTCAAGATGCGCAAGCCAATGCCAATCGAAATGCAAGAGCTAATCAACCCGCTCTTGGCCAACAAGATGGACCCGCTGGAGCTGGTGCTGGTGCTGGACCTGTAGCAGCTCCCGCTCGTGGCCGCGGTATGCGTATGCTTAATCTTGGACCAATCAGAGTCGGCTTTGGTCAGGCCAACCTTAATGATTTCGCTGCCCTTCAAAACCCTCCAGGAGGTCAAGCGAATGCAGCAGGTGCAGGACCTAGAGTTTATGGTTTAGAGCTAGGTATTCCTCATCGAGCTCAACCTCAAGACCCACCATTGCTTCTGGATCCTGGACAGAATGCCGCATTCCCACTTGATCAATTACCACAACATTTAGAAGAACTCGAACAGCAAGTCGCGCAGGAAATTCGAAACTTGCAGTTGAGTCAGCAGCAGCTATTGATTGTCCAATTGTTACAAAACGAGTTGACAAGATTGAGAGCTTTACAGAACAACGCCGTGGATCCTTTGGCAGCAAACTTTCCCTTACCGCAAATGCCTACCTTTCAGAATCCGCCGCAAATCATCCCCTCATTTAGTAGACCATCAACTCAGCCACAAGTGCACAGGCACAGCGCACGGTCCAATACATCAGCAATACCATCTGGTAGTGATGACCTTCCACCTGGAGTTGTCATACCAGAGGGTTGGTCACTTCTCCCATTAGAAAGACTACATAATGGGCCATTACCAAGCCAAGCAGGAGCATCAGTACCTGCAGCAACATCAACATCTAATGACCCTATTATAGCCTCTACCTCTACGCAAAGTGTAGTCAGCCCTACAGTTGAGAGAAGTGAAGTTTCTAATAATAGCGCCACACCAACCAACACTGAACAAGTCAATTCACAAGCCGGCTCGGTTGGCTCTTCTGAAACAAACGCCATTGAAACACCGCCTTCTATCTCGGCTGACCAATCGGCATCTACAATTCCCACATCAATAGAGTCAGCTTCCACAAATATAAACCCTTTTGTTGACCCTCCTAGTTTACCTAACTGGGGAAATTCCCAGCTATTTACAGGATCAAGCTTGGCTGGTAATCACAATCTTGATGGCGCTCATTTAGTGTCAACTTCGCCTCCACACGATGGTAGTGATGATAGAAATCCTCATGTTTCTCTTGATACGATGATAGGTACTGGTGAATCGACTAGTAGTTCAGCCGAGCACAGTGAGTCAAGAGGAGATGAAGATGGCGAAATGAGGAGACGAGAGAAAGGAAAAGCCAAGGCAGTAACGGTGGAGGATACAGTGGATGAAGAGTGAGGGACATCATGTGAGATGAAAAGTACATTAAATCTTTTTTAGGATTCTATCCTACATTCACGTGAACATTGCTTATCGTGCATGATGCATAAAGCCAGAGATCGAATGGAATCCAGTTAGAGATAAATTAAGGGCGTTTGGGGAAGGAATTCTCTCGGGGTTGAGGAATGGATTGGCGCATTTTCTACGTAATATGCTATGGGTAGGCTTAAGTCTTAAGCATAACATATCAGCCTAAGCATAACTTTGACGTTATACTTTACATACATGACATGTCATAAGGTTATCTTTGAGTCTGACAGCTCGGTCTCGGCTATGTTGTGCTGTGTTGTAGCAGAGTCGTGTGGAGGGTGGAGAGACGGACTATGGGGAGAGCAGAACCCTTACCACTTTTGTATGATCCAGCATATTTATAGCGTTTATAAAGAATTACAAAGTTATAAAGATAGATGATTACATGGAATCATATATTTAGTGCTAAGCTGTTGTACATGACACGTTTCTACATATTAAATGCATTTTTTAAAAAGAACATGGCATTTTCTTTAATGCCACGAGGGCTATGTAGAGAGTGGATGTAGATGTGAATAGGGAAGTCTTACGAATGGGTACCGGATACTTTGGTAAGGATCCTGGGAATTGGATGGCTTTGATTCTTGAAACGAGGGGGGTGTACAGGGAGGGGATGGGAGGGGTGTGCGTGATGATTTCAATTTGTTTGATGTTTGGGTTTGGGATTGGGGATTGGGGATAAGGTGATTGATGACTAGGAGGTTGCGGACGGATTGGTTAGTTTTATGAGGATATTGGTGGGATGGATGAGATACATGGATGGATGGATTTTTGTTTGTGCAAGAGAGATGTATGGGTTGGATGGGGTGAGGTCAGGTAAGGTGAGGTGATGTAAGATGAGATTTTGGAATCTTCAATCGATGGAGTTTCACGGGATACTTGCTGGAAACGAATGTAGATCAAAGACAGTTTAGAGAATCATGATGGCGATTTACTGTAACCTACCTAGTATGTGATATGCATGGATGGTATGAATTAAGAGAGAAGCCAGAGTCAAAGTGGGAGTGGGAGTCCGAGTCAGAGATCACATGTTAGTTAGGAGTGTAAAAAATGCTAGGTAGATAGGTATGTAGGTATGTAGGTATGTAGGGAGGTACTCGTATCCTTCCATCTGTAAGGCTTTCCTTCTCAAAAAGAAAAGAATCCCATCTCAATTGCTCGTACCTCAACTCGTACAAAATCAGATATAGCGATTTCGCCGACGCGGAGTGAGGGTCTGCTTCCGCGGTAATATATACGATATACGATACGATAGTATACGAGCGGCTAACTATTGCTCTTTTCTGTTTGTTTTGGGGTTTCCAACGATTACCTACTGTTGTTATTGTAGTTATTTATTTAATTGAGAAAAAAGCGACTCCGAGTTAGTTCGGGTTAGTTTGGGATTGGAAAGAAGTTAGCTACCCTTACAATGTAACTCTCCTCTTTTGCCTACGAGCCTACCTAGGTATCCGTGGCTGATATGGAGAATACCGATATATTCATACCTAGGTACCTAACCACAGTCTCGGGATTCCGATCACACCATAAGGTTACCTACTTACGGTTACGGTTACGGTTACGGACTCCGGGCGGAAAGCGCTTGTTGATAAGGATGGGGTAGGGTCGGGTAGGGGAGGGGAGAGGAGGGAATTAGTTTACCCCTGGATGGGTACCTAGGTATGCAGCCTTGCTATCTTACTATCACGAGATGAGATGTACCTCCGTACCTTGTCTACTCTCGCTTTAGGCTTAGAGAGTTACCCGGTCTTGTGGTGCGGATACGAATACCCAGTTTGTTGCTTATGTAGGTTTTTATCTACCGGTGGGTTTTTTGGGAGGGGAGGGGGATGGATGAAACAAACTGTTGGTTCTAATCTCTGCATTTATGAGGGATGAAAATTGCGATTTCATGAGAATCCATAAGGTTGCGGCCCCCAAATCAACCTCCGCCGCATGCAGATAGTCACCAACAAATCACAACAAACATAGTGGCGAATAGCCGCAGCCGAGAAAGCCGTGTTGGTTATTGTGAGTCGATTGTCCTTCTCCTTTCATGTGCATAGATTTTGAAGATGGATCATTTGTTTGGGCATTGGGATGGGATGGAATGAGAAGGGTAATGTGACTGTGATGAGGATGCGGGTCGAGAGCACTTGTGGGTATAGATGTTTACGAATGTTAGGTTGCCATGATTGCGATTAGGTAGTGTGGTGTTGAAAGTTGGAGGTTTGATATTACGTTACCGAGTTTAATCTTGTGTGCACTTGAGGAGATGAATCACAGCGGGAACTTGATGGGAACGCTATCGTGAACAGGCGTAGTATTAACTGTTTGATTGATACGATTTGGGGTTTATCCGATTACCTGTTGCAATGGAATGCGATTCTGAGTCTGATAGTGTCAGTCTGGATGCAGGTAGTTCTGTTGTCTCAAGCCACTCGTTTCTTTTTCCGAAACAACAATGCAGCGGTTTTGCTATGCTCGAGTTTATGCGCATTTTCATTTACCCAGTTTATGGAGATCAGTTTAGCAATTCTGAGAAACAGATACCTTCATACTTCCTAAATATCACCCTGATGGTAGATATCTGCACTTCCTGTACTCTCTGTAGACAATGATGCAGTCAGTGTAAAATATATAGAGGCTTCACGGATACGTGTCAGGCTTGTTGACTATAATAAGGCAAGGTGAAGGGGAGATAGGTTACCATGGTTTTAATATAGCACAAATCATCATAATAATTTCATTTTGCTTCACGGAGGCCAAGCGATTTCTTCAGAGAAACATGATTGATGAAAACAAAGTACATTATCTAAAAAGAGTCAAGTGGCCTATCAGCTTGAAAGTCATGAGAAAAGAAGTTCCAAACAAACTCTGCAATCATCTCCAAACCCCAATAATTTCTGTACACTATCGTTTCTGTACACTATCATTTCTGTACACTATCATAAAGAAAGAATCCATGATTACCATTGCGTAACAAGAGGAAAAATCTCATGTAACCTCATAACTGGTGAACATCCATCTCATCAAGCCTACCAACAATACACCTCCACCTCTCAGCTATTTCTGTTCCATCATTCTATTACCGCATCCAATTAGCCAGCATTGAATTAATCAGCAATTCGGTACAATCAATGACCTACTCCCCTATCAATCACCATCAAACGCACCACAACGACCCTCCTTACATCCCTCACACAAATCCGCATTATGAGGACCGTTGCTCTTTCCAGTCCCAGAGTACACCGGCCTATCCATCTCAATCCCATTCCACTTCTTAATGCGATACGCTATTCTCTCCGTATACGAGTCATCCAAAATCGGTTTGCTGAGCGTATTGCAGCTCTTGCAGCGCTGATGATATACTCTCCCATTGTATTCTCCCCCTGCATACATACGTATCGTGATTGCGATTTTCTTACTCGACCATCCATGAGAAGTGCATGCACGGTTGTGACACGTGAATTTACCCATGATGTTCGTGTCGTATTCTTTGGTACAGCTGATAGCATCGTCGGTGGGGTGGAATCCGAAATGGAGATTGTGCTCTGCCAGGAGGCGGGCGACGCTATCGTGGAGGGAGGGATATATGGACCATCTGTTTTGAGGGGTTGAGATTTGGTAGGGTCGCCGGGGCATGTTGATTCTGCGGGTGATGAAGTTGGATAGAGGGATCATATTGAGTAATCTTGTGCTGAATGTGTGATGATATGTAGGAGGATGGATATGCATGAGGGATTGAGCAAGCCCTTCATTCCCCATTAGTCTTCCGTTGAGTAATAAAAGAGAAATCAACTACCTTCTTGATCTCTTGATCTTCCCCAAAACCCAAAACACGAACAAGAATGCCTGCACGACCAACAATACAATATTAATATCAGTCAAAGTTTTGTGTTACAGTTGTGAATACTTGACCTCCGTTTAAGACAAGCCAGAGAAGAGGAAGAATACGAACTTGTATAAAAAACGAACTCGACTCGACTCAACTCATCTCATCTCTATAGCAGCATCTTTTTCCCTTTCTTTCTTTTCCCTTCTTTTCTTTCCACTGCACCCAACCCGAAAAGAAACAAGTCTTCCCTCGCAAACTGCCCGTTTGCTTTCCAAAAAAAAAAAAGATGAAAAAAGCAATACCACCCCATCCATCCATCCATCCACCTATCAACCACCGTCCCAGCTACCCCCTCCCCCTCTTTCGACTCGATCCCGTATACACCAGCACCCCCGCACCAGTTAGGAGGGGATTCGATATAACGGTCAAGTCATGACCAACAATATAGCTTCATTCAACCTAATAGAGACAATCGCTTGACATCAAATCATATATCCCCACATGATCTAAAGTCTTTTGCTTGAATTCTGATCTTCAAAAAGAACTCATCATGTAATTCCAAATCACATCATACCTTGATACTATTATCTTTGATATAAAAGTTGATATCAAAAAATGTAATTAGCCAGTGTAAATTAACGATCATTTCACAACATTACCACCACCCGTCTCAACAAATTATTCTCATCTCAAGACTTTCGAGATCTCTCAACCCATACCCACAATATATCTCCCCCTTGAAACACTCGAACATCCAAACATTAGGAATAAACAAAACTCAACGGCCAGACACACAAGCAGTGCAGAACACATACTACCCATACTTTCAATTTCCATTACACCCGTTGGGTTACATATTCACATTCATAACCACAAAATCCATCATTCCATCTGGAGGCGCATAGGCGCGTGTGGCATCTGAATTGAATCTAACGTCACAATATACAGCTCCAAACGCATCTGTCGCATATACGTACACACATACGCATATATATACATATACATCTCTTCACAGCCCACCGATCCCAAGAAAAGAATCCCTCCCTGCGTAGTACCTGCTTAGATACATCTCCAAAGATCAGAAGACTACTTCTCTCACTTGGACTGAGCAAATTACACACAGCACTAGGCAACCTTTTTTTTTCATCGATAGGTATCGTACCAAGGTATTTACCGTCCACTCAATGAGATTTATTTCACACTACGCAGTCAATCATATATATATATATACACATATACATTTAATTCACCCCAGCCTTCAAAATCGAGTTCTCCTAGAATACCCACCTGATACATAATAACACATCGAAGAACCAACCTTGTATATCCAAGAACCTACATCCAATCAATCATATCTATCTAGCAAGTAACCAACACGATACAAAGATTACATCTAATCTAGCAATAAATATAGCCATCATCTCATAGGAAAACCTATGTATATATATATATGCATGGGCAAAACCAATGCCACTGGAACCAGCACTTCTTTTCAACATGATAAATATATTTCACGTATGTATATTCGCTCTACTCATAATTCATATCCTATCCTATCATATAACTTCATATGTATCGTTGCCGACACATCTATTGAACGTCTGTCAATTTCTTTATTTCTCCGCTTTTCCGTTTCACCTCTTCTCGATTTTTCGATTTTTCTCTGCTCGAATGAAACCAAATATCCCAATCCAACTTTCCCATTCTTTTCAGTCAGAACCCAACTCCAAACTCCCTTCTCCACACTATACACCCATCCATCCATCAAACAAATGGAAACGAAACAAAATATAACAACAACTGACAGCTACAACTAAATAAACAATAGGTATACAACACACCATGTCGCCCACTCCCATGCCTATGCTTATGCAATTCAAACGAGAGATCGAAAATGAGATATATATGCAAACGCCATCTTCCCACAAACACCCTCCCTTTTCATTTCCCATACAGTCTCGCTAAAAATGCAAATCAACTAGTACCGATACCCAACACATCAGTCCTGCGAAACCCCTAATCCAATGCCCTTTCCTCTACCTTTCCTAATCACCTCCATTGCTCTCCCCACTGCATTCAAGTCCCCTAGCAAAGTGACATGCCCTCTATCACTCCTGACCTTACCTCCCTTAACCAATTGATAACCTTCTGGCAGCATTGCCTCTTTCGCTAGACAAACTCCATCTCCACTTGCAAACGCCAAATTGTCATAAACATCTGCGCACGGAATCCCTTCTTTACCTGCAACCTTTGCTCCATAAACCGTTGGTATCGACTTTCCATAAATGACTGCCAGCGGAGGGTAACGATTTGCTTCCGAGATTTCGGGTTTATGATGAAGTTCTTTCTTAAATTGAAGTGTTTCGGCAAGAGTGCGTCGTAGATAGGCAATTGCTTTGTCGCGGGGAAGAGTAACAAGGGTAGAGACCGAAGGAGCAGGGTTATAGGGTTTATTAAGGGAGTTACCTATTTGAGGTGCAAGGGTACGATCTGTACCATCTACTCCACGGAGAGCTTCTGCTGCTCGACTGGTTTTAGATTGATCGATGGATTGATGTCTATCTTCATTTTCGTTGCGAGAATTAGATCCGAGGTATGGTGAAGAGGGTTGAGGGGAATTTGTACCAGAACCAGAGCCAGAATTCGAACCAGAGCCAGTTTTCTTTCCAGTTATCGTTAGATTTGATAGACTGTTTGGTAGTTGAAGATTGAGAATACTGCCAAGTCCGCTACCCGATTGAGAAATTGGTGGTAGTGGTGGATCTGTAACAGGTGACCAACGATATTTGATCCAGTCATCCAAATTGAAAAAGTCGACGGGATATTTTTCCCTTGTATGGAGATCAAAGAAACACTCTCCATTTTCAGGAAGAAGTACAAAGCTAGTCCGTAGTGTAAAATTGACTTGAGCGGTCAATACTCTTGAACTCAATAGAACAGCATCTCCATTTCTAAAGGGGCCAAGAATGTTTATACATGATTGTGGAACACCAGCATATATAACTCCACTAAACAACTCCGGCTTTTGATTCACAACATGTCTCGTGATCAACCCCCCCAATGAATGAGCAATCACCAGAGCGCCAGTGGGCTTTTCTCCATTAGGACCTGGTTGATTGGAAGGTAATGTCTCCAAGAAGGCTTTCAGCTTTCTACTTAGAAGATGCGGACTCAATCTCCAATCATAACCATAATCCCATGCTCTGAGTTTCCCATTTTGTGCATTTTCGCAATTGCGAAGTCGTTTGAATAATCGCCTGGATATATCCACTGGTCCAATATTTTTCAGCATCCCAGATGGGATTATATTTTCTTCCATTCTTTCCTCATCCTCTGGATCCAAACCAACTTCCAGATCCACTTTACGGAGATTGAGTCCTACCTTGACAGGTACCCAAAGTTGATGATTTGGTGCTTTAGCAGATCGGAGTATCGATCCTCGATATCCACCCATAATTACGACATCACCCGTTAAATGTTCTATAGCCTTATCTAAAGCACTTGTAGGTTTCGTCGACGACCGAGTATTCTCACCACCAAAAAACGAATCGGATTTCGAAAAGGAGGGACTCGATTCAAGTGGTTTCTTTTTTATAACTGCTGGTAATACGTCTGAATGTGCATCAGTAATTGACCTTGATCTGTACGACGCTGGGTTGGAATTCAAAAAGTTCATGCTAAAGCCAAAACTGGGTACGCGGGGCATACTTGGCATACTGGGAAGTTGTGGCATTCGAAAAGTCGATCGATCTTGAAAAGAGTCTCTTATAGCTTTGACTCGAGAGTTAACTTGTTCGCGGTGATTTTCGAATCGTGTATCGTCACCTAGTGAGGAACTTCGAGATAAGCTGTGATATAGTAATGAATCATCAGATGTTGCTCTGCGAAGAACCAGTGGCCGTTCTGTTGTATTGTTATTGCTCGCTGTACTTGCATTCTGAAATTGTGAATTGCTATGACGTTGTGATGGATGGTATTGAGTTGTGAGGCGCCCCTTTACCTGATTGTTATTCGTAGATGATTGGCCCTCGCTTTTCGATTGACTAGGCGAGGTGGAAAAGGGGGAGAACGTGGCGCTTCTTGGCGAACTAATAGATGACCGAGACTTATGATTAGAACTTGTTGATGTACTAAATAAGTTTCCTACTTGAGCCATTGAGGGTAGCCCCTTTGGCAGCAGTTTTTTGAGCGCATCAGCACTACTAGATAATGAACTTTGACGTTTCCTCCCATTCCCATTATTGAATACACTGGCCATTGCGGATGTGCGACTATCATTTGGTGGTTCTGTTACCACAATTGGCTTGGGCCCTGACCGCCATGGCGAAGGAGGAGATGGAGGAGGTAGAGGAGGAAGTGGTTTTTCTAAAAGTTTCGGTGATGGTGATGTCTCCAATGTCAATCCTTCTCCCTTTGTAGCTGTTGGCAACTCTTCATCGAATAGCCCATTCGCAGTTAGCTCTAATGCTAGTGGAGTCTCAGGGTCGCTGTCAAAATAACCTCCTTCCAAATTATCCATGGCGGCAGCCTTCTCAGCAGCAGGAGTTCTCGAAGTTCTCAAACGTGAAGCTGCATGACTGAGGGAAACTCCAATGATCGATTGTGCGTCCTCGTCTGATATATGAGGAACTGCCATGATTTCTGTTTCGTCCGAGAAATCATCGCTGAATTCGTATTGATCTGCCGCAATGGTAGTTGACGTTGAAGCATCTAATGGATTGTTGCCATTCTGTGGGGAGGGTTTTGAAGCCATTGTCCGGATTCGTCTTTGTTTCCGATTATTTCCTGCTTTATAACCTGTGTGCATTAATTGTTCCTAATCCATCACCATAATCATTTGCAGTATCAATTTGGAGAAGTGGCAGGAAAGAAGAGGAAGAGAAAGCTGAAGACGTTTTCCGCTGTTTCCGAATGCGATACGGTAGATACGATAAGCCTTATGGAGACTCCAACAACTTTTTTAACCATTTACTAGGATATTTCCTGTTTGAGAGAGGTGTTTGATGTTATGATTCGTGAGAATATGAAATTTCCATGTAGTCTAGAGCTCGAATTCTTTTGGGGAGATTGGTTGCGCCGTGAACAACGAGCATCAGGAAGTCCATACTGTAGCTTCAATCGCTCGTTGTTCATCCTGCCAGTGCGTGCCAGCAAAGTCAATTCCACTTGTGGTTGACGTAATCGAGGAGTGGCAGTGGGGATAGACGGACTCGCGGAGTTTGTCAATTGTGAAAGTTTCAAGACTTTCATAATTAATTGGGTTGATTGATTGATTGATTGATTTATTGTGCCTACCTTTATTCCTACCTACCTATTTAGAAGAGACGAACCATGAGAGATGGTTTGGTAGTAGCCCTGGAGTGCCTACTCTGTAGTAGTTTCATTCATCTCTTGAGTGGAGAAGAGATGAAAAGATTGAAGATTATGTTAAGTGAAGGGATGGATGGATCACTGGTGGATGGGGAGAGAGAGAGAGAGAGAAAAGGAAATTGCATGTGAAATCAGAAATCATGTGAATGAACCCTTCCAAATTCTGTGTAAGTGTAATAAGGTTACACTTACCAGCATCATTACTCTGTATCATTATTTTGTCAACCATTTTCTTATGCGACTTAATACGACCGATACGAAATAGCCAATCAGATTCATCCAGTGAATGCTGTATATTCAGCCTTGCCTGTGATCAAGAATACGCATATGACGTGTAGCTATCGAGTACCTACGAGCCTACCAACGAGTCTACCTGCCTGCCTACCTAGTATGGTCATTTTGGAAGAGACTAGGTAGCCCTGTGGATGCCTACAATCCAGCACACTAACTGAGCATTATAGGGCCTATATTCCAATCATTTTAAGCCTATATCAGGTTTAATAAGCTTATAAGCTTCAGATATTGTAATTTAAGGTTGATCTAAAGCCCAATCAAACCTAGAATATAGGCATCAGTGGTTTATTCGGATAGAGCGGAGATTGGTTTTAATAGATCCCGATCAAATCTAACGAATTACAGAGCCTTACAGTGTGTGTGCCCTGAAAGAGCCTATAATCTCTTCCAAAATGACTGCGACCTTTGTATATAATATTATATGTACACACCACTCATATAGCATTTTCTACTACCAACAAAATCTAGGGACCTTACGAGCTTACCTCATACCTACCTACCGCCCGCTACCTCAACGACCGGTTGCAAACAAAATCCCGCACCCGAAGTTACCGGACTCACCGGACTCAAAACTGTCAATTGAATGGACTTTCTCTCCTGCCAATTACCTTTGACATACTAGGTATATCCACATCCGCATTGAATTACACGGAAGTAGATAAATATCTCTATATATACCTATATATCTTCATCACTTCTATATTAAAAGGAACTCTCATCTCATGTCTCAGGGATACAGAGTTCAAACGAATCCGGCTTATTCAGCCTGAAAACAGATCATGTAATCAGATGTGATAACCCATTTTCATCCAATTACAACACGAGGATCCCCTGCTCCCATTTCATCCCAATGATCCCGTCTTCTCATTCCAATCCAATCCAATCCAATCCAATCCAATCACATCCAAATCGAGTCCTCCGTACGAACACAGCCCCTCACGTTTTCAGGGGCGAGATCAACATAATTTCCTGATGCTTGAAAATAAAATAAAAACACTCTCTCATCACAAGTGAGACACTGACTCTTGGCGATCCGGGGAAACTTATTCTTTTAATGAGATTCTCGTATTTTAAGTGGTTCATTTTGATTCATCATTCATCATAGGTGTTCACACAAAACTTGGATGTTTCTCGAAGTTTCATCAATTCATGTTATCATGTTCCAAGGAATCACGATTTAATCTAATATTGTTCATTCATTTCACGCAAGATAGAGGGTGGATTTGAAGGCAAAATAGACAAAATAGAAATGCAAAATAGATACAGTACATCGAACAAATAATCTTAATTCTGAATTAGTTGCTTAATTACTTCAAGACAAGCAGGAGGGATGGCCCAGCCCAACTATCTGCTCATTAGTTCTCGAGCAATTCCAGTTCGGTTTATTTCCTTGAAATATTTCCATCCCTCGATCCATACCAGTCCATCATGTAAATATCCAGAATCAAGAAAGAAATGTTGATGTTGAAGAAGAAAAAACTGCGCGTAGGAAGAAAAAACTTCTGATCCAAACTGTCGTTGCCCAGACCAGACTCTAATAGAATAAACAAAGTAAACATCAACACGACCGTAAGGTTTCTATCCCCTCTTTCGTAGACCCAAGCCAAAAAGAACTTGTACTGGCGCCCGAAAAATTCCATTTTGATGCATATGCGTGAAAATTGTCGATAGGTGAGCATATAGATGCTTACAAGAGGAAAGCAGCGAGTCCGAAGACGGCGGCGATAGCAGCTCCTCCAACTTGAAGATTGGCGGCAGCACCGGTGAATGCCATTGGGGTTTGGGTAGCGACTGGGGTGGTACCGTTGGCTGGGACGGAGATGTATCCAGTGGAAGATGGCTTGGCGGAAGCAGCTGGGACACCTGGAGCAGTGGTCTCAAATCCGGAGAGGGAGATGGTGGAGTAGATGACGGTTGGGATACAGGTGGTGATGGCAACGACAGAGACGGAGGGTGCTGGGGAGGAAACGACACCGAGGGAAGAACCAGCGGAAGAGGCAGCTGGTGTGGCGTAAGTTGGGGTGAAGCTGGCTGGCTTGCTGGAAGCTGGAGCGCTGGCGGCTGGGGAAGAGCAAGCAGTTGGGGTGACGAGTGATCCGTTGCTATCATACGGAGAATATCCGAGGCAGTCTGCATAGTTGGAAGCACAGGTGGATCGGTTTGCGCCTGGAGCACTTCGGCAAGAGTTGTACGATGCGTTGCATTGGGATGCGCAAGCATCACCTGTAGCGGATGATGCGGCGGGTGAAGTTGTAGTTGATGCAACTGGAACCAAAACGCTGGTAGCTGGCTTGCTTGAGGCTGGAGCGCTGGCGGCTGGGGAAGAGCAAGCAGTTGGGGTGACGAGTGATCCGTTGCTATCATACGGAGAATATCCGAGGCAGTCTGCATAGTTGGAAGCACAGGTGGATCGGTTTGCGCCTGGAGCACTTCGGCAAGAGTTGTATGATGCATTGCATTGGGATGCGCAAGCATCACTTGTAGCGGATGATGCGGCGGGTGAAGTTGTAGTTGATGCTACTGGTGCGCTTGAAGCAGGGCCGGAGGCTACTGGTCCACTGTTGGATGGCTGACCGGCTGGGGTAACAGATGAAGGAGCAGCCTCAGTAGAGGAGGTTCTTGAGTAGATGGTGGTGGAAACTTGGGTGCTGCGAGCTGGGCAGTCGGTGACAGTTGCGGCGCAAGAGGTGATGGTGACTTCCTCAGTGACCTGTGATGTATTAGTCAGGTGCCCTCAAATCTCTTGATTATCATCTTGTTCAAACTCACGTAGTCAGTGGAAGTGGCAGCCATGGCGGCACCAGCGAAGACGGAAGCGGCGATAACGGAGAAACGCATTTTGAATATTATTTGGGTTTTGGGGTTTAAAGGTGCTGAAGAGCGGTGATAGAGGGTTTGCTGAAGTTGATCTGTAGAGTATGTTCTGTAAAGAATGGACGACCGAAGTCAAAGAAGATATGTATGATCTGGAAGATTGACTTGTTTGGATGAAGAAGAAAAAGTGAATGGAGGAGGGGCAAGTCAACCCCATATAAGCTTGGGAGATTAAACAAAGATGGGAGATGGGCTTGGCCGCTTAGGAGATTGACAAGGAAGAGCTACTTTTCAGCGGTCCCATGTGGAGAGACTTTCCACACTTTTCCACCACTCGGCTAGCGAAGAATACCCAATTCGTAGTTGGATTGACAGGGGAATCACTCTCAAACCGGTAGTCGTGCAAAGTAACTTTTGCTAGGGCTAAAATGTGTAGCCATTTGGTGACCAATGTATACACCGCTGACCAAAGGCAAACTTAGCCTCCATTTGACATCCACTCTAATAATTAACAGGAATGTGATGGATGTTTTTTCCCGTTCTCACATTTGGGTCTCGGGGGATTCCAAACATTCGACCTATGAGAAGTGGTAACCCTAGTTCATCCGTTCCCTGTGATTTGACGTTTCGTGGCTTGATTTTCATGCGCACCGAAGGAAGGCCGGACCAGAGAAAATGCATGGTTTGAAAGTCTTGGTGGCTTTGTGCCGGAGTAGTCGAGGTAGTGTATTCTACAGGGTCGATCTAAATTCATCTAATGCAGGAACAAGACCAATTAGCGGTGGCATTCGCCTTGGTTCAACAAGTGAGAACCCCTATAAATTTTACTTCAACCTAAGCCTGACATTTGTCTGACTAGGAGCTCTAGGAATGATTATCCATCCCAAAAGCTCCTACAAATGTAACTTTAAGGCGTAGGTCCCTTCTGTATCTCGATTGACTCCAGGTTTTGGATCAATTATTTAATCTTCTTGAGATCCTTCTATCTCACCATTTCATCCTAATGCTTATCCAAAGTCACATTCAACGGTTCAAAGCTTCTATTTCAAGATCATCTCATACCTCCAGGGCCATTCCTGATGATGTAGCTGTGGCTGAAGCTATTGATTTTGATTTTGATTTTGCTGTTGCCGTTGTCGTTGTCGTTGCTTGTTGCCGTTCTATCATGTATGTAATCATGTACGGAATATGAATATGGATATGGTTGATGCTGTCTAGCCCCAATTTACTGAGATGGTTGTTTCACAAGTTACTCGACTAGAAATTCACAGGAGGGAGTCAGGACAGTGAACAAGTTCTGTTCAACCCAAATTTGATAGGCTCGGTGAATGAGATGCCCCATTAATTCCCATTTCCACTCACAGTCCCAGTCCCAGTCCCAGTCAACTCATGATTCAAATCCCATTCTTTAATACAAAATGATCAGACCGTGCCTCGTCCCAGACTCCCACTCGTCGTCTACTTTCCATTTAAGCATCTTTTTGAACCTGGTAGAACATCGTCGACTTAATTTCTAGATACATTTAATTCTCAATCCTCATCGGGATGAGAGACTTCAAAATTGGTTGATCATAATTTCGAATGATAATTGTATCTTGAAGGAGATTTAATCACCGTATCTTCGAAGATGTCTATTTTCGTATCTCCTTCGTGGAATGAATCCGCACATGATGCGATTGACTGATTAACCTTACTCGGAACGAAATCTTTAAGATTAGCTTTATAAATTGCAAAATCTACAATACGAGCTTCATCGTGGTCGAATTACCTAGGTATTAATTTCAACCAAGAGAATGTTTCCCTATTCACGCTTCATTTATCAAGGATCTCTATTCGGGGCTGGTTAACTCCATATTTTCTACAAACAGAAATGAGGCCGTTAACTATCGCCGTCAACCTCCGTCCATGGCTTTTACTGGATCGACTGATGTGATAGACTGGGCGTCTTTCTGTGCGGTTATTTCCTCCACAATACATACAGCGAGCTACCTAGTAATAAATCCCAGCTTATCGACAAATGCCAAGATGTCGAAGATTCGCCAGTAGATTGTATACACCCGTGAAAAGGGGCATGACGATGAACTTGTCACACATGCTCTGAAAATATAAATGCATGGAAATGGTTTATGCAAGTGTGTAAGTAAGTTCGTCACCATCTACGACCGACCGACCTGGACATTCATATTCCAATCGTAAGTACATACTTATCGACCTTCATCTTAGTCTGGAATCTGGATAAGATTTAAGTCTTACCATCCCATACACCGGTTTTACTTACTTTTCGCAGTATATGACGACAACAACTTGTGTTCAACGCAATGATCATGTCCCCGAATGCAAATCACTACATTATATCAAAACGATCGACAGATGATAATGCGTCTACTATCACTATTAAGACCAGACGATACAAGACGACATACGTCAATTGATTGACAAAGTTCCCATGTTGTCCTCAATTATTTTATATTGCGCCGGAGAAAAATCCAACAATCCGAGGGCAAGATATATTTATCTAGGTACATGGTACATACGATAGAATTCTACTATTTTAATCTCAAGAGATATTCATAGATCTGATAGTCCTGTTAATGATCCATCCATATCATCGTCAACACTCGGTCTCAACAGCAAGCGGCCGTCTAGATATCAGGATTAGATTTGCGCATCGCACACAAAGAGTACATAATTTCTCACAACCTCGAATCTATCACATACGACCATAGACTGAAGAGAATTGGGCATCCCGTCCGCTCTGCCATACACAAGCTTCAGATCGGTGGATTAGTAGTTGGGTGGGTGACCACCAGCGAATCCCCACTGTTGTATGTCCACAACTGTTTTGCCAGCCATGACTCAGTTTTGGGTCGTCGAGACGTCCCTTGTCATCATTCATTTGCTGAGTGGGATGAGAGTCATCGAGCCTCATTATTACAATTACAAGCGCATCTCGATCCACCTGCGTCCCTTTCCCAGCTGAGCCACACTTTTGGCGTGCTCGGAGAAGCAACTTTATTTTTAGCAGTATTGCCACCAGATTTACTTTCCCTGCAACAAGCAACAATGTGTCGCTGCGAATCTACTACCATCATCGCAGAAGTCTTTGTTGTGCGGAAGGCTATTATGGGTACCCCATGTCTTGGAATAATGTAAGTAATCATGGTGACGGAGTCTGGATTTACTGCAACACACTAGTCGTCCTTCTCGTTTTCTCATTTCACCCCTTCTACATGGACATTCTGTCCATCCTAATCCATTGTACCCCCCTGAGTTCTCCTAGTCGCCGAGCTCACTTCCATGCGACAGATAGCTGCTCGCATGTTGTCAAACGGGTGCATTACATTATGATTGCAGTTTGCCTGTAAGCCGGGGAATCTCATGGGTGAGAGCAATCGATTTTCTCATGGACACTATAAAATGACTTCTTCTCAATTGATTATGCATCATCGGTCTCCGCTAGTTGATTCATGGGTTCTTAGGACCACGACTTTCGAGACGATGCAGTATGCTTGTTTCTACTGATGGTGCATTATCTTATGTGGCATGTGGTTGGGAATTGATTTCACTATGGTTTCCCATTTGTATCTTCGCTGCTATTATCATCATTTTATCCTTCTTGTCGTCGTCTTTTCTCTCTTACCGCCTTGATCGTTGTCACTGCAGATCCTTACTTTACCTGTCGAAACTTATCCCGTGTTGAGTTTCTGACAGTCACTTTTGGGACCCCTTTATAATAACTTGTCAAAACGAGTTCCCATTGAAATCGTGCTATGCTTTCCGGAACCCGATGTGCTCTTTCGTCCCACTCTTTAAATTCATGGTTGGAATCAGTCCACTTTCTGTCTTGTTAGTTGCAAACTGCCTGGCTTAGGATCTCTTTAAATATGTAAAACGATGGAGGCATTCCCAAAAGAGGGGTATTAGGTCCTTGACATTTTGAGGTATTCTTGATATTCACTTTTCATTACTCCATCGGTATTATTCACAACATTCTCTTCAGAGAATTTTCATCTCTCTACTCGTCCCATCAAGTACGAATATGGTATTCCTTCTCATTTCTCAGACTAAAAATTCCTCGGACCTTTATATATCCCCCCCCCCAGGTTGATAACTTTTACTTTGTAAGAAAGCACCATTGCCTCAAAGGTTTGATCAAGGTCTTGCGTAGTATAGCGACTCTAGTTATCTAATGAAAGTGGGATTCTTAGTTTTCGACTTTGATTGTATAATTTTTTTTTTGGATGATTCGCGTGAGCTTGGGATGACATTTTTTTGGGCGCCAGTCATCGTCTCATTCGTTCCGGTTCCCTCTGTCGCTTGCAGTGCAGTGATTATTATGATATTTTCATACACCATCATCTTCAAATCACCACCCTTTCTTACTGCGATGTCTCCATATAAAGTCATCCCCTCAGGCAGTATCAATCTTGGAATTCGCCCGCATTGAAATACCACACCTGTCGACATCTTGCTCGCCTCCTAATAGCTTTAATGGTCCATATTATAGGATATATGCGGAGTTTATATAGTTAACGATGAGTTTTGTTTTCGGGCGAGGGGATGTGGAGATGTGATTCATTGAGTGATGGCTAGGAAGTTTGGTGGGTGTGAATCACACATTCTCTTCTATGGCATGGACATTCCTATGGATGTGCTTGATGTCATAATCATATCAACGATTCGCAATTCCAGTGAATCAGTATTTCCAGGCTTGCATTAGGTCCACCCCTAGAAGATATATAAGCTCTATCCCAGTTTGACTTATCCTGATCAAAACCAGGCAAGGTAAGGCGAGTCATGGGAGAGGGAGAGACAGGCGCAACAATGGTTTGCCGCCGGAGAGTGCCTTTGCAGATTTAGGGATAATGCTTGCTGTACAAACAGTTGACCTCATTTTGTCCCATCTTATTTCGAGTATGCGTATTCAGCATTGTTGTTATATCTCCAGATTCATCGATTGTTATTTCGTGTATTCGTTTATTTCATTGTTGTCATATCTTCAAATTCATATATTATTAAATTATATGATGCCTTCCTTCTACAAGTCTAAGAAATATTTACACTAATCTTATATCTAATCAATCTCACCCCAAATCGTTCTCCTATCTCGCCATCGAACGCAGAAAAGCAAAGATCTCACAATACTCAACGGAGCTCATGCATCCTCGTCCCCAATACACGTTCAGAATCGAAGTGAATCTGATATACAACACTCCCTGTTTTTTTGTTTTTTTTTTGATGCGAAGTGTGTATGGAATCATCGTGTCCAAACAAAGCCTCTCAATACCTTTGTTCTAATTACATAATCATACTCGTCCTTTCTCTCTCGCCAATCAGTGGATTGATTCTACTTTAAGAACAAGGGAAAATCGAAGAATGAAAGTACATAATCACAATCTTTTATTCTTTGTTTATAATACAGATATTCTGAGGAACCTCTCTTTGTTAATTTTTCATGATGAGTTGAAGATGAGAAGATTAGTGTTAGTTGGACAGGATAATTTGAGTGTGATATGCATTTCTCTACAGGATATTGTGAGATCGGGTGGAGATGGAATGAGTGCAAGTAGATTATTGAGATAGATAATTGTCAAAAATATATCAAATTAACTAAGATCAGACATCTGTCCTGACTCCTTTCATCAGCTTCAGAACATATATCCCGAAACTCTGATATTCCTTCTAAAACCCGCATATCTCATACCTCATATCTCGCTATATCCTATATCTTACATCCTACATCCTATTCCAATCTTATTAATAAACCAACTAAATTCCGGCCCAAAAGCACAACATAAATCATCATTTTATGAAATCATCATATCTTCAAATCAAAGAGAGTAAGAAAATAACTATCTTCATTCCTCGCATTCTTATTTTTATTCTCATCTTTATTCTTATCCCCATTTTATCTTTCACTCATCACTGTTCAATGTTCATATCCCATCCCATCTCGAGCCCATCTATTCATCTATATTTAGCACAAAGACGTCGGGTTTCTACGAGATTTCTGCGAGATTTCTTTCCACGGGGATGGGTGAGGTGAGGTATTGCATTGTATTTCTTTGTACATTTATATGGGTGTGGAGATGGTTTAAGGAGATGAGGTGGGATGGGAGATGTTGGTGCGACTGTTTGTAGGTAGGTATGGAGAGGGTTGGTAGTTCTCGGGGTGATATATTTCCGTGGCAAGGTTGAAATGGAAGGGTTTTAAATTGATAAATAAGTCACATGTAATGAGATGACATGAAATGTTAATGATTGTTATCTCCACCCGTATTTTTGGAATTTGGTTCCTGATGTTCACTCGTAAATGATAGCTATAAGTGAGATGAATAATTGGTGAATCGCATGACATCATGAGCCGCAATACTTGGTAGTTCATTCATACAACAAGTTGATGGGAGTGAATTTTATCTTACCCAGTTTTCTTGGTAGTGTTGCCAATTCTCAATGTTGAAATCTTATTAGTTAGTTGATTATGTCGATACCTGCCTAGGTAATTGAGGTCTATTTCAATTTCAAAGTTCATTGCGGAAAATGAAAGTTAATTGATTAATATCACTCACACTTTCACTTCATAGATTCAAGTCACCTGCACGCATATTATAGGAATTAGATTATATATTAATGAAATGAATTACATAAGGAGGTTAAGGAAAAACAATTGTCAAAGGCCAGCTCTGACAATCTTGATGTGATGTAAAGAAATAAAACTTACTGAAATCTATCAGATCTTACCTCTTCTTCTTCTTCTTGACAAATGAGATACTCACTTACCTCTCGAGGGTGTCTGACGAGGGGGGACGTCTGACTTACCTGGAACGACTTCGCTTGACGGGAGGGGCCCAGTCCGAGACATCGCTGTCATTGGCAGAGTCGTTGTCGCTAGAGCTACCGCTGGAGATCGCAATAGCCTTTCTTGCGTTTCTCTTCATCTCGACTCGAGATTTCTTGACTGGTCTAGGGCTTGGCTTGAATTGTGGTGAGCGTCCTCCGTCGTTAACAATAATGGTGTCGCCGTCGACAGCCAAAATTGTCTCATCGATTTCAAACTCAGCATCTTCTTCCTCTTCGATCTCAGCTGCCTTCCGCTTGTTGTTCTGCTTTCTAGGTTGTCTGGCGATTGGAGCTTCGGAATCCGATGCATTTCCTTCGACTTGCTTTCCCTTTCTGTTGTTGAGGCCAGCAACAAAAAGTGCAAGGTTATTCATGTGCTTGTCGATGGAGTTTGCATTTGGACGGTTGTCGCGGAACTTTTGACGGTTGCGGGGTTCAAGCTCTAGGGCCTTTGCGGTCAAGGCATAGCTAAGGGTATTCTCGTAGCTATATCTATTGTGAGGGGCAATAGTGCTTTGGAGTGCCAAGTCTCTCTCTGCGCGGCGGATGAACTTTCCAACGACTTTCTTCATCTCTAGGTGATCTCTTGTGATAGCCATCTTGTTTCGACCCTCGGGAAGGATGCGATCATCAGGTCTAACGTTGAAATTGGCACAGATAAAGGGAAAGTCGAGGAATTTTTCGAGGCAGTAGAGATGAACATGTCCGGCGTTGTGGAAAGGGTCAGTGACAACGGGGTCGGATGATTGCTCATCAAAGGCAACTCGGTAGTGTCCCTTATGAATGGTGCCGTTGCGGACTGGGCAGTCTTCAAAGCGGCATTTGTCGGAGTTTTGATGCGAGTAGCGTGCGGCGGAATCGGATGGCACGCTTTGAGCCCAGAGTGTAAGTCCAGAGTTTTTGGTGTGTCTTTGTCCTTGAACAGTGTGACCCGGGTGGTTGAAGATGAACTCTTGTATCTGACTGACCGTGTAGCGAACATGGGGCTTCAACTCTCCATCCTTGGTGTACTGGAACGGATGCACGCCGGCACGATTTGGAGTTCCCCAACTTCTAGGTGTTTGTGCGAGCGGAGTGTAGAACCTGGATGGGTTCATTGACTGGATATTCTTGCTGCGCTTGTTTTTACCTAGTGTTGTCGCGTTGGGTTTAATCCATTTCTTTCCAGGTACCTTGATGGGTCTGACGGGAGTTTCAGGTTCTTTTGGTGCTGGTCCTGGTGCTGGTCCTGAATCGGCTTCACCTTCGTTGTCTGAGAGCGCAAAATCCTCTGGGTCATATTCATAGTCCGATAAGGCAAGATCTTCGATATCTTGTTCGACAGAGATGGCAAGAGCCTTACCTTTACCCTTGGATGTTTCACGCTTTTTGCTTGGCTGTTGCTCGAGCCCAAAGGGCTCACTGTTGTCAATGCCGCTAGCGATGACTTGAAGGATTTGATCGTCGAATTCTCTGCATCGTTTGACTCCTTGCAAAAGTGCCGCCGTAACGGTTTGGGGCAATTGACCAGCTTGATCAATGATGTGTAAAGGATAAGCTGCATCAGGGAAATCGTTGAGTACAGAGTTCTGGTAATGAGGGGGAAACTCAAAAGGAGCGGGGATGTGTTGAACTGGTTGCATGCTGCCAGTGAAGCCTTGGTTAAAGAACTGAGGATTGACTGTTGCATTGTCGGTTAATTGGGGAGGGGGTAACTCAGCTTGAGTGGGGTTTCCTTGCATCTCTGCATCTGGAAGGTTGAGGTAATCTTCAAACCGGAAGGCTTGAGGAGGAGCTTGAAGAGGAGCTTGAAGAGTTTGGGGATTGTCGACGGGGTAGATAGGAGAGTGGAGATCAACTCCATCGAGGAATTGGTATTGGTCGTCGAGAAAGTAATCGTTGTAGTAAAGTTCCGACATGTTGTTAATTTAGCAGCTTAGCTGTACTAAATGGATTGAATGTAGTAAAAGGTTTACGTTTCTGGGGAATTATCTCAAAAGGCAATGCTAGAGAAGTGTGTTTGAAGCTGCTTGAGGATTGTAGATGAGAATGTGAGTTGTATATGAGGAAAGAAAAGAGAGTACAATGGGGATTGTCAACGAGTTTATATGCAGAAATTGAAGCTTTGTTTCTTGATTGTATTGTTGTTTCTTTGTATATACATTAACAAAGGACCCGATGAGCAGATTCTCTAATTTACAAAGAGATGTGAACTATGGCAGATGTTCACCAGAAAACGACAATGGGATTGACTCGGTCAATAAAGGAGAGCAGTGGTTTTCTTTATCCCTTGACCACTGACAAGCGGGACGACATTGTCTTCTCTTGGATCTCATATCCATTATTATGGACAAAGACACGGTATCTTGATATTTCCTTCGATCTTCCGACTTACCTGTTTGAATGTTGTGTAGCCAAGATGACACCGATAAAGAATTGGCGCCGGCGTCTTGATACAATTGAGCCATACTGTTGGATCAAATAGACTTGATTGAAATTGGTTGTATCTACTAGGTCAATATGGTACCATGATATCCGCAGCAGAAAAGGCAATTGACCGCCTGTGAATCCCATCAAACGGGTTGCAAGGAGTGCCTTAAAAAATGTACTAGATGAAGAACTTTTGAGAATTAGCTTGCGTTTCATTAAGATGGACGAGGCAATTCAGAATGAGGTTTGAACAACAATAATCAGAAGGTCTCCAAGATAATCAACATACAGCACAAGGCCGTTCAGAACAGGTCTGTGTATCTTGTTTGTAACATCATGTTGTTGTAAGCAAAAATGGGAAGGAAGGAAGGAATTATGGACAAAGGTGGAATAAATATAGACATACCAATGATAAAGGAACTCTGAACATGATTAAATAAGTCATGGAATTAGCACTGTAGCACAGATCTTATGATCAATAGTCGGAGTCCTATTTGTAAATCCTCTAATTGAGGCTTTGCGGATGTTCACGGCGCAAATATGAACAAAATTGACACGGGAGCTTCTCCTCCATTGCAGCAATAGAATGAATCCATTCCGAAGATTATAACAATTGAGAATGGGGCAAAGAGATATAGTTGATGGATGTATAAGGCGACAGTATGAAGTTATGTTTGTTGAAAGTACTGTGATTGATATTGAAGGATGTTGGGAAAGTGTGGGATGGAAGAGCAGGTCCTTTATGACAAAAATTTATAGATGAGAAGAAACTTTTTCAAGGGTTGTGGTCCGTGCCGAGTTAGCTTGACTTGATATTTCTAGAGTCACGTGATAATAATGGTGATGGCATGAACTGGCTCTTAGGTCGAGAATGGCACGTGGATGGATGGAAAGTCAGCGAATTTGGATTGGCTCATAATTCTAAGACATATTTCCCCGTCTCTCTGATCGTCTGCTTCAACAACATAAAATTCCCCATGTATAGGTAAATGTGCCATATGTATGCTGTAAGTAAGGAGGTACGTACCTTTTCCCCCCATGGGAAACGTTTCTTTAACTCGAAGAAAGTCTGTTATGTCTACTCTACCTGCCTAGATACATTGTAAGATCTTTCGCATAATACAACATGAACATTATTTATATAACTATCTATTACAAGCATCTCTCACTGCCTATCAACCTCACAAGTCCCCGTAATTTGCTGTGAGAAATGGAAAACGTGTGATCTCCAAAATCAGAATTATCCATTCCTTCCCCCACTTCTTCTGGGAATATTCCCAACTTCACTCCACACAGCACTCGTACTCCGTACACTCGACTGGACTGTAGACTGGACTGGCAACCTGATCGGCTATTCTTAGACCTATTTGTCCGGATTCCCGAGTCCCTGTACACGAATGCAAACATCAACGGTCGGTAGGTCGGTCCATTCAGCATAGGTACAGAGTAGAATAGAAAATCAGGGCATGACGAAAGTGTGAAGATCTAAATCCTTATTCAGTATGCTTCTGCTGCCGATTTTCATTCTCGAGTAACCATCTATTATTTGCATCTTGCCTACTCTCCATCCTTCTCTCCATCTAAGCTTCGAGCTTCATGTTTTTATCCACCTACCATACTTTAATCCCTCCTTGAAACCTTAATTTTGCGCCTTTCTTCTCGACTTCTTGTACTCTCGTTTGCTCATACCGCTTCATACAATTTATATCCAAGATGGAGGAGAATAACCCGGAATTGCAGGCAAAGCTGCAAGAATTGGAACATGAGCTGGAGGTTAGTTATGGCGTTTCCAACAACGGGGGACTTGGTTTAGCAGCGTCGCGTGTGCTCCTGTGCCAGATATATGCAGGATGTCATTTTTCGGGATAGATTAGATGGATTCTAGAGCCAGATTGCTGATACAACTTTTGCTTTAGGAAGGGGATATCACGGAGAAGGGGTATGTTTTCCCCAGACTATGCTAGAATCATTCAATGCCAGATCAACAGTCCTGATATTTCGAACACAGGTATCAAAAGCGACGCACATTTCTACTTTCACAATATATGGGAGCTTCGACGATATCTGCGGAACTAAAAGGGCTGCGCATACATGCTCCTGATGACAGCATACACCCCTCGAATGATGGTTCGCGCTCTGCATCGCTTGCTGCCCTCAATTCGAACTTGAACACCCCAAGTGGGAGCGATTTCTACCCCTCACAAAACTATGGCGCATCACAACTTTCCGGCCGAACAGCTACAATGGCGAGTGATGCAGGAAGCTTTGGAGCCAATAGAGCGCAAGATGGGCGAACTTTTTCATACGCCGGTAGACCTCAAGACTTAAGACTGGCAGTGCATAATCCTACCCAAAGGCATAGCTCTTATAGCCAGAATTCCGCATATCAGCCTGGCTCTCCAGGAAATGGAGACTATCAACAAGACCGTCCAAATGAGCCAAGTATGAGAATGGGATCAATGGCTTCTGGCACAAATTATGCTTTTAATCCGGCTCACCAAACTGGGTATGTGGAACATCCAGGAGAAGTTTACAATCCAAATCACGGAGGGCCGATGATGGATTCTCATGGCACCATGCTTGGGGAGTCGCAACAAGGATATTTCTCGGATTTTGCAGGACAACAAGGATACGACATTAATGGACCAATTTCTTACGGTGGAGGACCACATCGATATTCTTCCAGTGATGCATTCTCTCCAACAGCAGCGATGGCACCACCGATGCTGACCACCAGCGATTTACCTCCTCCTGATGCCCTAGAATATCAGATGCCCCTCGAACCTCGAGATGTTCCATTCGCTGTTTACGATCCACATGATAGAAATACTCCCATGTCTAAATTTGACAATATCGCAGCTGTTTTAAGGCATCGAGGAAAGGCGAGGGCAAAGATGCCAGCGTACTGGGTGTTGGACAATAAAGGAAAAGAGATCGCTTCTATAACTTGGGAAAAACTTACTAGTCGAGCCGAAAAAGTTGCGCAAGTAATCAGAGATAAGAGTTCTCTTTATAGAGGTGACCGAGTCGCTTTAATATACCGCGAATCCGAAATCATCGATTTTGCCATTGCCTTGCTTGGATGTTTTATTGCTGGAGTAGTGGCAGTCCCTATTAATGATCTTGACGATTATGCAAAACTCAATACGATCCTGACCTCTACACAAGCACATCTTGCACTGACTACTGACAACAATTTGAAAACTTTCCAACGAGATATTACGACACAGAAGCTCAATTGGCCAAGAGGGGTAGAATGGTGGAAAACCAATGAGTTTGGAAGTTGGCATCCAAAGAAGAAGGATGATGCACCACCTTTGACTGTCCCCGATTTGGCTTATATTGAATTTTCCCGAGCCCCCACAGGTGATCTTCGCGGTGTTGTGATGAGCCATCGAACGATTATGCATCAGATGGCATGTCTCAGTGCTATCATATCAACAGTGCCGGTCGGAGGGCATGGCGACACTTTCAATCCCGAATTAAGAGATAAAAGTGGAAGATTAATGGCTGGCGGTAGTAGTCGTGGCGAGATCTTACTCTCATATCTAGATCCACGACAAGGTATTGGTATGATTCTGGGTGTTTTATTGACTGTATACGGAGGTCACACAACTGTCTGGCTTGAAAGTAAGGCTGTTGAGACACCTGGTCTCTATGCGCATCTCATCACAAAATACAGAGCAACCCTCATGGTAGCCGATTACCCAGGTCTAAAACGGGCAGCTTATAATTACCAGCAAGATCCCATGACGACGCGAAATTTCAAAAAAGGAATGGAGCCAAACTTTCAAAATGTCAGGTTATGCTTAATAGATACTTTGACAGTCGACAGCGAATTTCATGAAGTTCTTGCAGATCGATGGTTACGACCAATGCGAAATCCTCGCGCACGAGAACTAGTGGCTCCTATGCTATGTCTACCAGAACATGGTGGAATGGTGATCAGTATGCGAGATTGGCTGGGTGGTGAAGAGCGCATGGGATGCCCTTTGAAACTAGACATTGGGTCAGATGGAGATTCTATAGAGGAAAAGTCTGAAGAGAAAGAGAAGTCAACTGGTAATGGCTTTGGAAGTCTGATTGGAGGCGGGACAGTAGCTCCTGCCGAACAAAAAGGGAGAACAGAATTAAGTGAAGTTCTTCTGGATCGGGAAGCACTCAAAACCAATGAAGTTGTCGTGGTCGCTATCGGCGAAGAAGCACGCAAGAAAGCTAGTAGCGAACTGGGGACAGTCCGTTGCGGTGCTTTTGGTTTCCCAATACCTGATGCAACCTTGGCGGTAGTAGATCCTGAAACTGGTCTTTTAGCCTCACCACATTCGGTGGGAGAAATTTGGGTAGACTCCCCATCATTATCAGGAGGCTTCTGGGCCTTACCAAAACACACAGAACAAATCTTCCATGCTCGACCATACAAATTCGAGCAAGGAGATCCAACACCGATGATGGTAGAGCCAGAATTTCTTCGAACAGGACTTCTTGGAAC